ATTAGAATCTAGATTCAATAATCTATAAGCCTTGGAATTTTCAGCATATCCTACGAAAACACTTTTAATTCCTCTAGCTCCTAACTTGATGATTTAGGGTCAATCATTCTATAAAAGGCTAAACAGCCCCACACCCTAAAATATATCAAGTTTGGTTTTTTTCCTTTTCATACTTCATATGGAGAGACATGTGTTTTCATAGATGTAATCATATTGTGAACATGACATGCTGTAAGTAAAGCTTCCCCCCATAAATTATTAGGAAATTTAGCATTAAGAAGCATATAGTTAATCATATTGGTAAAAATTTTATTCTTTCTTTCAGCCAATCCATTTTGTTGAGGAGTAAAAGGGGCTGACTTTTGGTGAATAATTCCATGCTCTTCACAAAAAGCATCAAATTCATTTGAGAAATATTCACCACATCTATCACTTCGAACCATTTTGATCTTCTTGTCTTTTTGGTTCTCAATTTCAGCCCTTTTATTAGTGGAGGTTCCGGGAATGTCAACATATGGTTGATTAACATTAGATTCTAATTCAATGAAAGAATCAAGGCTAAACTTGTTCTCAACAAATTCAACGTCTCTTGATTTCACAATAACATTAGAATCTAGATTCAATAATCTATAAGCCTTGGAATTTTCAGCATATCCTACGAAAACACTTTTAATTCCTCTAGCTCCTAACTTGATGATTTAGGGTCAATCATTCTATAAAAGGCTAAACAGCCCCACACCCTAAAATATATCAAGTTTGGTTTTTTTCCTTTTCATACTTCATATGGAGAGACATGTGTTTTCATAGATGTAATCATATTGTGAACATGACATGCTGTAAGTAAAGCTTCCCCCCATAAATTATTAGGAAATTTAGCATTAAGAAGCATATAGTTAATCATATTGGTAAAAATTTTATTCTTTCTTTCAGCCAATCCATTTTGTTGAGGAGTAAAAGGGGCTGACTTTTGGTGAATAATTCCATGCTCTTCACAAAAAGCATCAAATTCATTTGAGAAATATTCACCACATCTATCACTTCGAACCATTTTGATCTTCTTGTCTTTTTGGTTCTCAATTTCAGCTTTATAAATTTTAACTTTATCAGAGGCTTCATCTTTTGTTCTAAGTAAATACACATAAGTGTATCTAGAACAATCATCAATAAAAGTGATAAAGTATCTCTTTCCTCCTCTTGTCAAAATATCATTATACTCACAAATATCGGTATGAATCATATCTAATATTTAAATATTACGTTCAGCTCTAGGAAAGGGTTTCTTAGTCATCTTAGCTTGTATGCAAATTTCACACTTATCATTTTTAATATCTTTGCAATTAATCAAACCATGTTTAGACATATATTTCAAAGATCTAAAATTTAAGTATGTTAAACGTGCATGCCAAATATCAAAAGAATCAACAATATAAAGAGAATTCACATCATCTTTATTATTAATACTTAGTTTGTACATGTCATCACAAGAATATCTCTTTCCCACAAAGATCTCATTCTTAGATATAATACAATTATTGCCCTCAAGTACAATCTTAAGCCCATTCTTACACATAAGACTAGCGGATATAATATTTTTTCTCATGTCAGGAACATGAAGAACATTGTTCAAAGTAAGCTTCTTTTCGAAAGTAAAGTTAATCTCCACCACTCCTCTCCCGGCAACCATCGCTGCATCATTATTCCCCATGAGAACCGTTTGTCCTTCCTTTTCCACTTTGTATGATAAGAACATAGTCTTGTCATTACAAATGTGGATTGTGGCACTGGAATCAAGCCACCAATCGGAGGATTTAGATGCAGCCATGTTAGTTTTGATAATCATGTCAATTTGCAATTCCGAGACCATAACACAAATGTCTTCGGATTTATCTTCAAC